GAAGGAAGGAAGGAAGGAAGGAAGGAAGGAAGGAAGGAAGGAAGGAAGGAGAAAGAAAGACAGAAAGAAAAAGAAAGGAAGGAAAAATATTACAGTGCACCTCTACCCTCTGGAGACCCTGTTTTCCCACCCCTCCCCTTATATTTCTTCTATAACAACTAAAGAATGTACAATATATTCCATTTAGCTTTCCAAAGATCGTTATTTTTAACTTTCTGTTTACTGCAGAAGCACACAATTGCTGAAATCTTAATACCTGGTGCATCTCATGTATCTTTTTTCCCCCTCCCCCTTTGTTTCGTCCTTCACCCACCTCTGTTCTTATTTTCAGACCCTGAATGGATCAAGAGATTACTGCAAGGGCCCTGCATTTTCTGCGACTCGCCCGTTTTCTAGGGAATGACTGACTCAAGGCGACGAGTTTGGAGCAGTACTCTCTAGTGGCCAAAGCAATCACCCCGGGTTGGATCTACACGAAAGCTCGCTCCGACTTGAAGACTCTGCAAATTTAAACTAGAGAAACTGGGAAACGCAAAGGTCTTTCCTTAAATCCCATCACCACGGTTGTTTGAGATGCTTCTGGACTCTTCACATTCAAGGTTGCCCTTTGGTGGGTTTTTTTGACCATTAAGTTCTGGAATCAAGGATCGTCTTGTTCCACCAAGAGATGCCATGATCGGGGGCAATGCTACCAGCGTCCAACCGAGTAGGTTCTTCTTGATGGCCAGAGTGCAACATGGACTCTGTTACTCCCCTTCGTTCGGGTCTAACGAACGGGGGCACTTACTGAAACCGGAGAGAGTTAAATTATTACAGATAAAATGAATGGGTTTTTGAACTGTTTCACAGGGGAGGAAGACCTTGCATGCCCATAGTCATCAAAGAAAGATGACCAAACTTGTGCGAGGCCTCCTTCGAAAAACTTCCAGGCAGCTAAATAGCCCTCCCAACTGTTATTTTAAAGGAGCCAATTGCGTGTGATTGTAATGTTTTTTTAAGCAGCAGCGTTTCGACTTTTGATTTCCTTGGCTGCGATCCGTCATTCTTCCACCGTCGCTTCTCAAAACGGTCCTTTGTTAATTGCGGTTTATCGCGCCGTGCATTCATGAGAATACAAAGATATGTGGACACCCATGCTTAGGAATTTCTCACCAGCACAGGCCTGTTGCAAGCTTTGGATCTGAGCAATTCCCTTGTGTGTGTGTGTGTGTGTGTGTGTCTTTTAATTGAAAAAAAAAGGAAGAAAGAAAATGTTCGCACGGTTCCTGATGCTAGTTGAGAGTTGTTGTTTTTTTGGTCTGTTGCTTGAAAAGCAAAGGCAGAAAATTAAAATCTGTTGTGAGGAACACCCAAATCAAAAGCAGTGTTAAAAAAAATCCCTTCAAGATGATGCTTGACTATAAGTGTGTGTGTGTGTGTCTGTTTCTGTGTGTGTGGGTGGGTGTGTAATATTTTGAAAATGTGTTTAGTCTACTGTCACAACCACTGTGACATGAAGCTGTTGGTAAATAAAGCAGCACACAACTTTTGCCGGTGTGCGTGCGTTAACGAAATGTCGACTCTCCTGTTGCACAATCACCACAAAGGATGGGATGTCTTGTATGTTTGTTGTGTAGATGGTGGCCTCAGGTACGGCAATCGCTGAGGAGTTTTGACTCTTTCCAAGCAGGAAAAATGAATAAAAACCTTTTTTTTCCAGTGGTTTTCCTGCTTTATTGCTTTGTTTTTCCTTATTATTTGGGGTGCTTTTTTAATGGTAAGTTCATCTCCCATGGTTTTTCCCCTTTCAACTTCACAGGTCGCCCTCAACTTATGACTGTTCATTTAATGACCGACTGAAATTCCAAAAAGCACTGGGGGAAAAAATAACCACCGGTCCTCATCCCCACAGCTGCACGATCAAAATTCAGGCACTTGGCAACTGACTCGTATTTATGACGGTTGCGATGTCCGGGGGGGAGTCATCTCATCCCCTTTTGCCACCTTGTGACAAGCAAAGCTAATGGGAAAGCCAGATTCACTCAACAACCATATTACTCACTTACCGACTGCAGTGATTCGCATAACCACCAGTGGCGAGAAAGTCCGTAAAACGGAGCAAAACTCACTCAACCAGTGTCTCGCTTAGCGCCAGAACTTTGGGGTGTCATTAAGCTACCTGCAGACCCCAGAGAGACCCACTCAAACTCATCCTCCTCCCCAAGGCTCACCGGGGGGGGGGGGGGAGGTCCGCTAAGATGCTTAGTGGATTGGGAGGGGGGGGTACCAATTCTCCAAAACTTAGGAAATTCCACTTTGGAAGCGGTGGGGGGGGAAGGCAAGGGGGGGGCAAATCAAAAACATTTGTCGCGGTGTCCCCTTCCTGCTCATTCTCCTGATCTCCTTGGCCGGCGCTTACTTAGCCGCAATCAGATGCTAATCAAATCTGTCGCGGGTCCCAAATTGGTTTGAAAAGGTCGTCGTCCAATTATAAAAACCTAATTCCTTTTTCTTGCCCGCTGAACCTTTGCTAACGTGGGTGTGCGTGTCTCTCTCTCTCTCTCTCTGTTAACTGCAAAAGGGGATACGAAAGGCCTCGTAAGCATTCCCCGGTAATTAAATGAATGTCAATTGTTTTAGCGCTTTCCGAGGGAGAGTCCTACACAAGTATTAGCATGGTCTCCTAACCCAGACGGCCTACCCTTCAGGCTGAGCGGCCGCCCTTGGGGGGTCAACCGTTGACCCGAAACCCGGCGGAAAGACGGCGCCGGCTGCATTTCAATGAGGCCGGGAGGTTTGGCTGGGCTGCTGCGTAATCAGCTGAGCGGAACTAATATTGTGGGGTGCATATAGATGAAAGGAAGGGGAGGGAGGGGGGGAAAGAGCCAGGCTTTACGGCTAAATTAATTAAGCAGATGTACCTGTCTAATTAACGGGCCCGTCGCCTTCCCTTGTTCCCTGCCTTGCGCACTGCAAACAGTATTTAAATGCGCATTTTCCTTATCAATATTTAGTAGCGGGACTCTGATGCAGGTGATATTAGCAAGATGTAGTCCTTTATTTATTATTAATAGCCACCCGTACAATTTATGCCCAGCAGTGTAGCTTAACTACCAGGGGGCGCGGAAAGCAGGCGCTCGCGTCACCAGCCCGCGGGAAAGAAGAGGAGGGGTTGCAAACCCTTCAGAATTGAGCCCCAGGGCCGTTTTGGGGGAGGCTGGCGATGGGACTAGGAAGGGGCTTAGTACTCTGTTTCCCCAAAAATAAGACCTCCCCGGATAATAAGCCCAATCGGGCTTTTGAGCGCATGTGCGAAAATAAGCCCTCCCCTGAAAATAAGCCCTCCCGGAAAATATTTAAGCACATGCACAGCCGGTCCTCAGCATTTCCTCTAGTTGCTTGCTGCACAAACAACATGAGGTGAGGAGGCGAGGTTGGAGGGGGGGAAAGGAAGGGGGAGCGTGACTCTCACACCCCACACGCCCTTTCCTAACAGCCGTTCCCGCCACCCTAGCTATCATGCCCCTTGTTTCCCGCTAATGGCCGCCGCAAAAAAGAGTGGGAGGCCCAGCGACCCGGCTTGCTGCTGTAGCAGCGCAACACAGCAGCAGCCATGAGGTGACCATGCTCGCCGTCTCCTGCACCCCAAAAATAACAAGGCCTCCCCGAAAGTATTGCAACACAGCAGCAGCCATGAGGTGACCATGCTCACCGCCTCCTGCACCCCAAAAATAATAAGACCTCTCTGAAAATATTGTAACACAGCAGCAGCCATGAGGTGACCATGCTTGCCATCTCCTGCACCCCAAAAATAAGGCCTCTCCGAAAGTATTGCAACACAGCAGCAGCCATGAGGTGACCACGCTCACCGCCTCCTGCACCCCAAAACAATAAGGCCTCTCTGAAAATATTGCAACACAGCAGCAGCCATGAGGTGACCATGCTTGCTCCCTCCTGCACCCCAAAAATAATAAGATGTCCCCGAAAATAAGACCGTCTTATTTTCAGGGAAACACGGTAGCTCACAGGGCCTAAAGGAGGACTAAGGATTCCCGAGTCCATGTGCCAGCCTTGCCAGCGCCCACCAACCAGGTGATCTTATTCTACTAGATTCCTTTATTCTCGCCCTGCAGCTGAATCTGGCAGGTTCGAAAGGACTGGTCTCCCGCTGCCTCTTTTACAGCCTGGGGCACTGGAGAGATTCCTTTGAGATTCTTCCTCCCCTTGTGATGCAGCTCTGGGCTATGCTTCCTCTTCTCCGACCGTTCCCTAGGCAGCGTCTCTTCCTTCCCCAAGGTTCCTCCTTGCATACCCTTACGGGCGGTCTTCGACTTACGACCCAAAATTTGGAAGCCACGATTTTCGTGGCAAAGAGAGAAGTGAGTCTCCCCCCACACACACATTTTAGCACTCCCCCCCGCACCTTTGTCAAGCCGATCGCTGTAAGTTGCTAAACGAGTAACACCAGTCGTTAAGGGAATCTGACTTTGGCTGACCGGAAAGGGTATAGCATGCAACTGTCATAAATAGGAACTGGTTCAAATTCCAAATCACGTGACCCTGGAGGTGCTGTAGTGAAAAACTACAAAAGTGTGAAAAACGATGCTGTTTTTTTTTTTTCCCGGCGTCAAAGTTGTGACTTTGAATGGTTACTAAATGAACAATTGTAAGTCAATGTGGATGCCAAAGGCAGCTCACCTGTTCAAACAGCCAGAGAGCTGTTGGGTCTTCTCCTTGTTGGAAATTTCAGTGCCTACAAGAAGAGTAGTGAAGGAGGGGGGCAAAATTATGCAGAAGAATGCATGGGAGGTGAGAGGCGAAAAGACTAGATCCTATTCGGCAGTGTGCGTTGAATGTTGCATAGACCCACACATCCACACACAACAGTGCCACATTGAAACCTGAAGGTCACGCACAACCAGTGCAACCTGTTGTGGCCCACCAGCGGCCAGCAGAGCT